GCTGCTGGGGGGGGAGGGTGTGAGGATGTGGGTGAGCAGGGGGAGTGGTACCGGGGTGGCGGGTGTGAGGCAACAAGCAGCCGTCTCTCCACCTCTCCTCTCTTCCCCCTTTCTCTGCTGCTTCTGCAGCAGTGTGGGGGAGGGGAAGGAGGAGGGTGAGGAGATGGAGGGGGTAACCTTTCAAAGTTAGCCCGCCTGCAGTACCTGCTGTTGCTTGTTTTATTGCTCGTTGGTGTACCTCTGCAGGTTGTGCTCGACACTTAGCTATTCCTGCATGCAGTTACGGGGGGATGTCAAAATTATATTTATTATAACTGCATGAAGTTCTAGCTGTAGTGTAGTTATTAAATTTGTAGGTGGTGCACCCCTTCATGTGTTCCTTTGCTATATGTATCTCGAATCCTATAGTGAAACCTCATTCTCCAATTTTCCTCTCTCAACTCACTCGACTCTCACCCTAGGTGAAAACCCGCTCGATACCTAGTTAAGGGCCTAGGCTACTAAGCCTAGGCCCCTCACCTTTCAACTTAATCTACTTTAAGTTCGACATGGAGTTGAAATCGACCCTAAGAAGTTGGACACTGTCAACGCGTGGCGTCCCCCGACGAACATCACGGAACTGCAGAGTTTTTTAGGGTTCGTTAATTACGTCCGTCGGTTCGTCCCCGACATGGCACGCTTAACAGCCCCACTCACAGATTTACTGCGTAAGGGGGTCGTTTTTACATGGGGGGAGAAAGAGCATGCTGCCTTCTCTGCCCTGAAAACTGTTCTCTGTTCACCACCCGTCCTACGCATCGCTGACCCACATCGCCCCTTCGAGGTTGTTACAGACGCGAGCGACATCGCCATCGGAGCCGTACTGTTACAGGACTTCGGCAACGGCCTCCAACCCATCGCCTACGAATCACGCAAACTGCATCTGTCGAGAGTCTAAGTAATTTAAGAGTAGAAAGGTGGGGCCTAGGCTTAGTAGCCTAGGCCCTAACTTAAGTGTCGAGCGGGTTTTCACCTAGGGTGAGTGTCGAGTGAGTTGAGAGAGGAAAATTGGAGAAATGTGAGTCTTCACTATAGTTTCGAAGTACATATAGCAAAGGAAACACATAAGGTGCACCACCAAACAAAGTTTAAATATCTACACTAACTACAGCTACAGGCAGTTACAAATATATATATTGTGACACTCCCCCATAACTGCCTGCAGCAGGAGTATGTGTAGAATACAACCTGCAGGTGTACACATGCAAAATAAATAGCAAGCAACAGCAGGTAATGGAGGCGGGCTGACACTAAGTGGTCACCCCCTCCATCTCCTCACCCTCCTCCTTCCCCTCCCCCACACTGCTACAGGAGCAGCAGAGAAGGGGGGGAAGAGAGGAGAGGTGGAGGGACGGCTGCATGTTGCCTCACACCCGCCACCCCGGTACCACTCCCCCTGCTCCCCCACATCCTCACACCTTCTCCCCCCAGCGGCAGCTGCAGCGGTGGGACTGAAAGAAGGAGGAGGGGAAGGGAGAGAGGTGACGCCACACTCCAACACCCTCCACCCCCATACCCTCCTCCCCGCGGCTGCAGGGAGACAAAGGAGGAGGGGGGTGGGAAGGAAGAAAGCCGCAGAGCGGCGAAAAGGTGTCGGTGCAGTGGTGTCAGGGGCGGCTTCAGGGAGTGCAGGGGCGGAAAGGCCCGTCGCGGGCCAGTGCCACGGGGCGCACGACGGGTAGAATAGAAGGGCCCGATCGTGTGCCTCGGGGCGCACGACGAGCAGGGCACCATCGTGTGCCACGGGGCGCACGATGGGCAGACGAAGGGCACCGTCGCGTGCCACGGGGCGCGCGACGGGCAGGGAAGGAGTCACTCGCCCGTGGGCGGGACAATGTAAAAATAAAGTCGTCACGCGCCCTAGGCGCGCGACCGGAAAACCTTAGCAGCGGAAGTGTAAAGTGGGCCCACAGGCCAGGACGAACCTAGCTCCGATAACATGTCGAGAGTCTAAGTAATTTAAGAGTAGAAAGGTGGGGCCTAGGCTTAGTAGCCTAGGCCCTAACTTAAGTGTCGAGCGGGTTTTCACCTAGGGTGAGTGTCGAGTGAGTTGAGAGAGGAAAATTGGAGAAATGTGAGTCTTCACTATAGTTTCGAAGTACATATAGCAAAGGAAACACATAAGGTGCACCACCAAACAAAGTTTAAATATCTACACTAACTACAGCTACAGGCAGTTACAAATATATATATTGTGACAGCATCCGCCTGAGCGAAATTACCCGATACACGACCGCGAAATGCTCGCGATCGTGCATGCATTCAAAGTGTGGCGCTGCTACTTGACCGGCGCAGACGTGACAGTACGGACAGACCATCGATCCCTACAGTACCTCCGTGCACACCCCCACCTCAACCCACGACAGATTCGATGGCTCGACTTCCTCGAGTCGAACTTCCATTATACGGTCACCTATAAAAAAGGAGCCTCCAATATCGCCGACGCAGTGACCCGCCCCAGTGCCCAGATCCATGCGATACTACTCGCCCAGACCAGTCCGCTACTGACAGGACTATTTACCCACGGATATCAAACAGACCCATTCTTCACAGGAGGAAACTCGCAGCAATTCGCAGCAGCCAAGGGAGTCTATTACGTAAAAGCTGGAACCGACCGCATCTGGGTACCAGGGTACACACTACTACGGGAATTACTGTTACAGGAGGCACACGACGGAGTTACCTCGGGACATTTCGGAGTAGAGAAAACACGGCAGCAGCTGCAGCGGTACTATTACTGGCCTGAAATGTTGACCGACGTGCAACGACACGTGGCATCGTGTCCCACTTGACAGCGCATGAAGTCAACCAGGAAGCGGCCGGCGGGACAGTTACAACCAATCCCACCTCCAGAGCGTGCTTGGCAACAAGTGACGATGGACTTCGTCACGGGGTTACCGGCCGGGGCGAGTGGGAATGACGCGATCCTGGTCGTCGTCGATCGACTGACGAAAATGGCACACTTCGCAGCGTGCAAGAAAACAATCAGAGCCGAGGAAACAGCCCGACTCTTCATCACCACCATCGTTCGACTGCACGGGATACCAGCATCGATCATCAGCGACAGAGACACGAAGTTTACCAGCAATTTCTGGCGGAACCTGTGGCAGCAGTTCGGCACGCGACTACAATTCAGTTCATCGTATCACCCCGAAACCGACGGACAGACAGAACGGACAAACCAGACCATGGAGCAGCTCATTAGGGCCACGTGCGACGACCCAAACACGTGGGAGCAGCAGCTGCCACTCATCGAATTCGCATACAACAACGCGCCATCTGCCACGACCCAACAGTCGCCGTTTTACCTGAATTACGGACAGGACCCCACAGTACCCATGACCCCAAATCCCGACAACCCCGTTCCACGTGCGCAACAATTTGCCGAGATTTTGCAAGCAGCACGGACCAGGGCAGCAGAAGCAATAAAAAAATCGAACATCATCGCTAAACGCAACGCCGACCGCCACCGCAGACCTGTCACTTATCAGCCCGACGACCTCGTTTTACTCGACACTCAAAACCTCCGCCTGCCCATCACTCCAAAACTCCGCCCCCGATACTGTGGGCCATTTCGAATTAGCCACATGATCACACCTGTCACCGCGCACCTCCTCCTCCCTGCTGACTGGTACGTCAGCCCCTCGTTCCACGTCAGCTTGCTTCGCCCTTACGTACCATCCACCGGCCAACTCCCACGGCACCGACCATCCAGCATGGCACGACCACCATCCGAACCAATTACCACCCCCGACAAAATCCTGAGTCACAGAGTTCGCGACCCCCGAGGAGCCCGAAAGATCGAGTTCCTGATCCGCTGGAAAGACCGTACACCTACCGAGGACAACTGGGTTCCCCTGGACAGAATTGAAAACCACCCTGTCCTCACCGAATATCTGCGCAGCCGAAACTTCAAAGATGTCCACACACTTTCGTAAGAAGGACCTCCTTAGGAGGGGGGGGGGGGGGGGGGGGGGGGGGAGGGGTAGTGTAAGGAAAATCCCTTTTCCTTACTTCGCATCCCTGCTCAACGCGTACATCACTGTAGCACCTCAGTCAGCACCGTTACCACTCGCGATCATCGCATCGACAATTATCCCGCCATTTTTCGCACATCGCATCCCGACCTCACGGCTCGGCTGGTAACCCGCGCTCCGGGCCTACGCTTCGACACTTTCCCAACCTCAGTCCCAGGCTCGTCGCGCGACTACCACAGACCATTACCGTTACCACTGTAGTTTCGCTATATATTCTTTCTCTCACGCCCTCGCTCATTGTATTCTTGCTTCGATAGTGCAATTCTCGTTCGTTCACTCAATTGCACTCGTAACAGATAACGCAAGGCAACCCATCTTTAGTGTCACGTGATCTTGACGTCGCACATGCCGTCCTATTCGTTGGTGCCACTGATCTTGACGTCGCTTCATGGGATGGCAGGCGGCGGGGCGACCCGTCGTTGTGAAGTGTCGTGACATTTTTAGTCACACACACGTGTTGATCGAAGCGATCAGGTAACCATCATCGCGAAACCTTGCCATGACGACATCCGATGCAAGTTGATTACCTCACTGCCAAAACTTCCCGAAGGGAAAGACGGCGACAGCGACGAGTGACGAAAGCAGCGTACTCTTCTAGCACGAATTGACGAAAATACCTAAGCATCGCTTGTGCGTAAATTTGCAGGGATCTCGTGGTTGCCGCAGGGGATTAGGTAGGGGCTAATTTTGTTTGAACGATGCGCGAATCGAGATTCGCGGCGCGGCGCTTGTTCGTGTCAAGAACCGAGCTAAGGGCAAAAGTGGGCCTGCTCTGCTTTCCTCTCAGTGCATGTGCCTGCAAAATCTCTCATATATATAAGTTGATGGTGCTGTTGTTTTCTTATCAACGCAGTTTTCATCCATTTTCATCGCCGACGCTCCCGAATCAGTCTGACCGGACAGCCTTTAATATAGATTACTTCGATGGGTAGTACTAGGAGTATCTTTGCGCTCTTGTGCACCGTGACCGTGGCTCTGCTGTTTCTCCTTCCGCCCAGTGCCCATGCGGAGCTGACGGGCACAGATGGCGTCGTAGCGAAGTCCGCCGGGTCGATGGGAGCCACCACACGGCCGAGAAGCATCTCTGAAGGTACACCTTTCGTGTAGGCCGCCGTGTATTACACGCTCTTTCGCCCACCCACTGGCAGTAGTGTCGCACTAACTCCGCATCCTTTCCCGCTTTTTTCAATCTCCAGGCCCATAGTTTGTCCATGCTTTCCGTTTTTCCTTTCATGATTCTGAGCCGTTTTTCACCGGGGCTTCTTGATTCCACCTTTTGCAGTAGGCCAAGCAAAGCTTCGCGGGCGTCGCTTGGGCCGCCATCACGACGACGACGACGATGACGACTTAGACTGCAAGGACGACGACGACGACGACGACGACGACGACGACAAGAAGTACGACGACAAGAAGTACGACGACAAGAAGTACGACGACAAGAAGTACGACGACAAGAAGTACGACGACAAGAAGTACGACGACAAGAAGTACGACGACAAGAAGTACGACGACAAGAAGTACGACGACAAGAAGTACGACGACAAGAAGTACGACGACAAGAAGTACGACGACAAGAAGTACGACGACAAGAAGTACGACGACAAGAAGTACGACGACAATCACGGCGACAACAAATACGACGACAATCACGGCGACAACAATTACAACAACAAGTACAGCGGCAATCATGGCGACAACAAGTACAGCGGCAATCACGGCGACAACAATTACAACAATAAGTACAGCGGCAATCACGGCGACAACAATTACAACAACAACTACAACGACAATCACGACAATCACGACGACAACAACTACGACAGCAAGTATGAGAAGATGAGCTGCTCCGAGAAGTACAAGATGCGCTCCGATAAGTGCAGCTACAAGCGCGAGCGGTGCGGTGGGGACGAGTACTGCGGCGCGACGAACGACGCATGCGAGAGGAGGGCGTACTTGCTGTACGATAAGTGCAAGCGCGGCAAGTGGACGTGCGAGAACTGGTGCGACTATAACAGACTCAAGTGCGTGGAAGACTACCACAAGAGCAGCAGCACTTGTCAGGATCGCGTCGAGTATTGCTACGACAAGTGCAAGGGCAACGACAACTATCACAAGGATTATAACCACAGTGACAAGTATGATGATCACCACGACGGCAAGTACAACAAGAAATACGATGATGACCACCATGACGATGACGATCACCATGATGACGACGATCATCACGATGATGATGATCGTCATAATGATGATGATCACCACAACAAGTACTACAACAATCATGGCAAGTACTAGATCTAGCATGTTTCTTTTAGTTAGGAGCTGAAGAAAGTGCTGGGTAGGTTAACTGCTTGTTGCTGACTGCTGAAGTGGGTGCCTTGTTTGCTGGTTGTCATGTTGATATGCTAGTAAAGGGAGTGGTGGGGGTCCTAGAACCTAGCTGTATGCACTGCATGTTTCTTTTCTGATAACTTCAAGCGAATTTCACAAGGAAAATATGAGGGCTACTCTAATCTTGATCCTTCTTTGCTTTCCACCATCTGCCACTATGACTTCTAGTAGGTTCGCAATGCCTGTTTATAAAATTTTATCAGTTGAAGTTAGAATAATAGATGTATTAGTATTAAATATCGACGTATTTGTCGTTTCACCCAAGGCCGCTCCGTTCACATGCACATGCTCTCGACACAGTATCAAACCGCGCAACCCTAGGCAGGTCAAAGTATTGATGGGGATCTCAAGTGGTCGCGATTCTTGGCAGACCGTCGTTTGTCGCCGCACTGTCTCGTCATCCAGTGAAAGTGAGCTAACAGAGTTACCAGTAATCACGAAACATCTCGCAAGGCGATTTTTCTTATTGGTGTGCGTGAATGAGAGGCGACTCGATCCTGGGGGGCCAGTGATGGCTAGGGGGGATTTCATGATTCATCACGGCTGCAACCATATACTGTACCCATCCTTCTCGCGACGCGGCTCTTTCTCTTAGGCACCCGCACTTGCACAAGCCCTGTTGCCTTCCCCCCCAGCCCAAGCCACCCCCCCAACCTCAACCACTCCCACTTGTTTCATCACCTCGCCTTCTTTCCTATAAAGCCCAACTCACGCAGGTTTTTTTTCTATAATCCATATTGATTTCACATATCGACCGATAGAGCTCCCATAATCGACTGCCTTTGCTCCGTCTAGCTGCTGCCATGGAAGGGAAGAAGTTAGTTGCGTTCCTGTGCGTGGTTACCGTAGGTCTCCTCGTCCTCCTTCCACTTACAGTTCATGCGGATGTGGCGGGTTCTACGACACTGGCAAAGACCCAACAGCCGACCGAAGGCGCTGAAGGTTTGTATTCTTCGACATTCTCGGAAATCTACGCCCATTGTTACTATCTCTGCTTCCTACCTGACGTCTCCTGGTGAACGTCAGTGCTATTAAATTCGGCCGAAGCCCTTAAGCCCACTTCCTCGCGTCGCTCCTGATCTGCTTCCTCTCCCGATCCGCAGAGTCCAGGACGATGTTCCGGCGACGACTGAGCGACGACGACGACGACGACGACGACGACGACCTTGATTGCGAAGACGACGACGACCACAAGCCGCCCAAGCCCAGCCCGTCGCCGCCGCCGCCCCCCCCGCCGCCCAAGAAGGAGAAGAAGAAGCTGACGTGTCTGGAAAAGTACAGGCTTCGCTCCGACAAATGCAACTTCAAGCACGAGTGGTGCAAGCGGGAGTGTGAGGACGAAGACGAAAAGGCCATCTGCAACGTTGCCGACGACTCGTGCGAAAGAAAGGCGTACATGCTGTATAAGAAGTGCAAGTACGGCAAGTGGACGTGCAAAGATTGGTGTGCTTATAACAAGATGCGCTGTATGGAGGATGATCGGTTGAGCTCGACGACGTGCAAGAAGCGCGCCGATTATTGCTACGAGAAGTGCGACCCAAAGCCAATTCAGAAGGACGAAAAGCACGACGATGACGACGATCACCACCACCATGGCGACGATGACGACGATAACTAGATCCAGCATGCGTATTTCGACAGAATTGGTAGCTACTCGGCTCACTGTTCGCGAATGACTCTCGCGAAGGCTAACTGATTTTTGCTGACGCTAGGGAAACCGTCCGCATGGCTGAGATGCTTAATATGCTGTCTTAATTGTTAATATTGGCTCGATAACGGGGAGCCCTTGTCATAAACTATCGTACGTTTCAGGCATGGCACTGGTCTGCCTCCATCTTAGCCAATTCTGTTGACCATCAAGACGGGAACCATAGTGGCAAGGCTATCACCCATTGCGATAGCCACACGCCTAAGAGACATGCTGGGTAGCCCCCCCTACCCTCATAAGATGGTCTATACCTTCATCCTGCAATTTCCATCCTTGCAGATGCAGGTTTTTTTTGCAAGCCTGCGTATAAAATGATTGTTGTTGAGAAAGTGTGCTAGCAACAGGTGAGTTGTTCCCCACACCAAATGAATTATTTCACTGCACTGGGCGTTACCGGTAGAATGGAGTTAAAGCTCCGGTATACATTTGTCAGCAGCAGGCCCTCAGATTCGTTTGGGGGTACACTGAGGCCTCAGGGCAGTTTTTAGGAAATCAGAATTTGCCCTGATTTGTCAGGGCTGCACACGGTGAGGTATCCTGAAATGCCAGTGCTACATTTGACAGTATCCTGGCAACTCAGTGCTACATTTCGTTCAATCTTATGTATTTTGCGCGTGTTAATTTAGCGGGGATTGAAATGCTCTCCAAATTCGAAGTGTGGAATGCTGTAGTGCGAAGTAAGATAAAACATAGTTTAAAATTTGCTCTCCTATATCTCGTATGAAGTGTGGTAGTGTAAGGAATTTTCTCGGCATTCCTTACGGAGCCGACTACATCGCGTACAGCAACAGCCGATTGTTCGCCCGTTACTGCTAACGGAACTTCGCCGACTTCGCGCGCACTGTTTTACCAAACCTCGCACTGCTGGCATGGCCGTATCGGCCTACGCTTCGGGACTAGCCCGAGCCTCGCTCCAGCGTAGCACTAGCAAACTCGCACGCACCGCGTTACCGTTTTGCATGTTTCGCGTATAAATGTTCGCTCATGCCTTCGCTCACATTTTATACTCGTTTGACACCTTAGTGCAATTCTCGCTACCTCGATTCATTGCACCCGTAACACTTGGTTATCAGAGCCCCTTTCTTTCGGACCGCGCATCTCCGTGTGAAATAAGGAAAACAGGAATGAAATGACTATGGAAGATTGGGTACAAATACAACCCTAGAAACCCTGTACCCCATATGTGCTACCCCACTATAGCCTACAGAAACTATGTCATATAAATCTGACACACCCCCATAGGCAAAGTGGGGGAGAATAAGGGGTCACAAGACCAGTCAGGTAAAGCAAAGCAGAGCAAGCTCAGGGTGGATCACAACGTCACCACACAGTCCGAGCACAAGAGCAGGGCCAGAGGCCAGTTCACATGCAGGAGTACAGACATATATATATAGAACTAGACAAGCAAGAGCAGGTATAAATATATGTAACAGTACAAGTGAAGTCAAGAGGAGAGCAAGTGAGGCAAGACAGGCACAAGACCCAGCTGGGTGCAAAAGCGCTGATGGTCACAAGGCGCGAGTGCCTTGGTGAACACATCAGCAGTGTTGGCCTCAGAGGCCACGTACGCAAGTCGCAACTGACCACGCTGCTGCAGCTCACGAGCAAGGAAGTAGCGGAGAGCAATGTGCTTCGTTCTGTGCTCCAAGCGCTGCTCTCGACACAAGGCCAGCATGGCCTTGTTGTCTACGTACAGCACTGGAGGAGAACGAGGCGGCTCTCCAAGGTCAGTCAGCAGGTAGGTGAGCCAGCGAAGCTCCTGTGCAGCCATGGCCCCGGCGTAGATCTCAGCCTCACAACTGGAGCCGAGAACCGAAGACGAGCGAGTAGACCGCCACGAGACAGAGCCGGAACCAAGGCTGAAGGTGCAACCCTGTGACGACCGCTGCGTAGCCTGGTCGTCAGCCCAAGAAGCGTCCGCGTGGCCGGTAAGGACCACTGGACTCCGCCCTCCAAGCACTAGCCCCATGCCCGACGTGCTGCACAGGTAGCGCAATACCCTCTTCGCTGCAGCCATGTGCTCTGGTCTGTGTCTCCCAGGAGCAACATAGCGAGCAAGAATGCTCAGAGGGTATGCAAGGTCAGGTCGTGTGCAGGTCATCAGGTACATGAGGCAGCCAACAAGCTCTGCATACGGGCCACTCGACTCTACGGACTCATCCGAAGGCAGAGCTGAGATGGAGTGGCGAGTAGGCAGAGGAGTGGCCTGAGGCGAGGAGTACGTGAAGCCGAAGCGCTGAAGGACCTGCTGCACCATGTGTGACTGAGTCAAGGTAATGGTGCGGCGTGCTCTGTCCCGAGTGATCTGCAAGCCAAGGTAGCTGCGCAGTTCACCCAGGTCTGTGCACGTGTGTCTCTTTAGCAGCTCGGACTTCACGTAGGCGAGTCCAGCAGTGTCCGCTGTGGCAAAGACCAAGTCGTCGACGTACACGAGGATGTAGAACGGCGGCAGGGAAGTGTCGGTGCGAAGAAACAGCGACGGGTCAGCAGTAGAAGGAGCAAACCCAAGAGCCGCAAGCGTAGTCCTCAGTGTGTCGTGCCACTCACGCGGTGCCTGACGGAGACCGTAGACTGGCCGTCGGAGGCTCCACTGGGTGCCAGGAGGGAAAGTCCCAGTGAAGCCAGGTGGACGGCGAAGCCAGATCTCCTCGTGCAGGCTACCCTGCAAGAACGCAGTGCTGAAGTCAAGAGAGTGAAGCTCGTAGTCGCGCTGAGCGGCTATGTGCAGCAGCACCCGAAGAGTAGTCATCTTCGGGGTGGGAGAGAAGGTCTGAAAGTAGTCAACTCCCTGCCGCTGACTGAAGCCACGAGCAACGTACCGTGCCTTGAAGACAGGTGGAGAGCCCGGCGGCCGCTTCACCCTGAAGATCCACATGCCACTGACGATGTTCGCCCCAGGAGGGGGAACCGCGTCAACGTAGGTGCCTGTGGACTTCCAGGAAGCCATCTCTGCATCCATAGCTGCCTGCCACTGAGAGGAGTAGGGACCCTCTACGGCCTCCGCGTAAGAACGCGGAGTCGGGATGTCTAGTGCATCCGGGTCTCCCTCAGGGGCAAGCAGTACAGACGCGAGATGAGGTGAAGCAGCCGCTAGACACTGTAACTCCTCCTGCCTGTCCTCTAGGACGTCCGTGCCAAGAGCACACTCACCCCCGACGGACGGAGGACAGACAGACGCAGACTCAGCAACTAGACT